GTTTAATATTGCTGTACTATATACTCCAACATCACTGGCGCATGGTAACAACCAACTGACTGCAGACCATTTCCGTTCACACATTACTCTCCATAACCCTCTAGTTCCGTCACCTCTGGATTACAATTATCCTAAAACAAAACTGAAAACCCATAACCGAAATCATACTACTGTACATGTAAGAAGACAATGTTTGAAGTAAAGAAAGGGTTTAAATGAAAAAAAATTGTAACTTCCTTTCATTATAACTTACTTCTTGTTTATTAGCCGCAAGGGAGACCTTGAATGAGGGGCCGTCACTGACTCCTTGCGGTTCAATTCTTGTAGTTGTTGGTTTCCATACTCTCGCTTCTCCAGTTCTACAAAAAAAAAAAAAAAAAATTAGAGCAATTAACAGGTTCATGGTTAAAAAATGACATGTAAAAACTGGGCCAAGTGTTATTATGTTGTTTGTCTTTGTCCATGGTTATCTTTTTTTAGGTATTACTATACTTTATCTGAACCAAGTTTTCAGCAAGAATTTTAAGTCAGGCAAAAATGGTTTAGAAACAATAGGACTAGAGGTAAATTACAGTGAGTGTGAATAAACATTATGATGAATGAATATATAAACAACATAAAATATTTTATCTACTACAAGAGATTCTTTATGTTAGCTTGCTATGGGAACGACTTCTTTAACTATCGTTGAAAAAAATAACTAAAATAATGAGCTTTTATAAAGAGTGTTGACAGTACGATCACTTGATAATCACCTTTGAATATTTAGCATTAGGTTACCGGAAGCTGCTTTGATTTTATTCTGTGCCTCAAGGTGCGTCATTGAGCTTGTATCTTGTCCATCGATAGCGGTCACTATGTCATTTGGGTAGAGGTTCTGTTTGGCTGCTTTGCCTCCCGGGGTTACCTGTAAGAAAATATGATATCAATGCTATACCAGTCTTTCTGTAATCAGTACATGACAGGGACAAGATAAAGATACCAAACATTAGTGCCTTACCTGACAGGTACAAGATAGTAGGCATCAAATTTCAAAAAGCTGTATACAGCACAGTAGGGCCTACATAGGCATGTTTATAACTAAAATGCAAAGGTTTTCTATGCATGTCGGGTAACGGCAGTTCGGTGCAACGGTTGAGATTTGGGCTTTTAATCGTAAGGTCGGGGTTTCGAGTCTCCGCTGTGCAGATTCGCTTGTGTCCTTGGGCAAGGCACTTTAGCTACATTGCTTCAGTCCACCAAGCTGTATCAATGGTTACCAGCAAACTGCTGGGGATTAACCTGCGATGGACTAGTGTCCTGTCCAGGGGGAGTACAACTCTCATCCGCTTCACACTACAGAAACCGGGGATAAGCTCCAGCCCTATGAGCCCTAGAGGCACGGAAAGGATTAAGTTAAGTTTCTATGCATGTATGTATGTACTGTATGTATATGTTTAAAGTACAGTTTGTGAAATTTTATGTTTTGCCACTTTCCATATTAATTATTTTGCGTTTTATCATCATTCAGAAAAACAAATATATCGTATAGGACTAAACTAACACCAGAGACTATGCTGTACCTACAAAGTAATTATCTCATCTCAAATGCACATAGTAATTAATATATTGTTGTTATATAGTATGGAGTCGCAAGGGCTCAAGAAGTTTTGCCTTTACGTACACAAAGCTTAACTACAGTACAATTATTAATCAGTTTGTGACACGCACTTGAAACTGTGATTTAAAAAGAAGACAAAGGTATATTATCAAAATTGGAAACACCCTACAATCTTTACAGTAAATTATTATATTTAGGTATTCACCTGTAACTAATATATGGTGAAGAATGCATCAATTGTGAAAAAATTCACACACCTGAGCGACTATAAATAAAAACTCTTTTTAGCCTTCTGAATCCATTAGTCAGTGCTGATTTAATTTTGGCTATAATCTCTGGATATGTGTGATAGGTATTTAAAAGGCTTTAAATATTTCTCTACATAAATTTACTGGTAGTACAATCTCCGAGTTGTCTCCAGATTACTGTACAATAGGTCATAGACCTAATATACTTTTAGTATCATCCAAGCAATGTGTGGTACTATTAGTTCTATACTAAATTTTACACAGTGCTACTAAACTCAGTAGACCAAGTAAATAATAATTTCTCAGACGCATATCCAGGCCTTTGCACCATTCATTTTGGCAACGATCAGCGCGAGACAAAAATTTAAAAAGTACGCCTAAACTACAGTAACTGCAGCGCTGGATCGTCATAAATTTAACTCGCACTATTCAGTTCATTCTTGTTTAGTAGAAAATTGCCATTTAAATAGCATACTGTAATGTCTATTTTCAAACCCAAATTGTTTGATCGTTAGGTGGATGCTCCCCTGCTGACCCTACCTCCGTGGACCAGCCCTGTGGACCCATCTGTTCAGTACTTAGTCAGGGTGAGCTCTGGTCCACACGTTTTTCTCTAGTGTACGATTACTGTTATTACTGTTTTACTATTATGTTTTGTAATTAAACTTGGATTACAATGTTATTTCATTTCATTTATTTGTGAAGACTAGACCATATAAATCTATAGTTTACAATTAATTTTCTGTAGAAAAATAAGGTCATGGTCTACATGAGTACTACTACAACACTAGCTGCAATCCCAAAAAACATCAAATTGAAGCCCCGGGCTTCTTTTTTTTCTTTTTCAAAGTTTGGATGAGCTTCTTTTTGAGGACACTTTTGCAAAGTAAAGAGGAGCGCTTCTTTAAAAAAATTAATGCTTCCTGCATGTTTAAAAAAAAAAAAAAATAATAATAATAATAATTCCACAGAAAACAAAAATATTGTCTTCTTGTAAATATTCAAACTTTAAAGATTGATGAATATATGAGAGTAAAAGAGGTTACAATTTATTCTGCAAATGCCTATTGATGATAAGTTAAAAATAAATAAATTCAAATTGTAATCTAATTCAAACTAAAATTCTTGTAATATTTGAAAAAAACAAAACAAAAAGTGGTCGGAAATGTCATAAACATATGGTAAAGTCATATATATGAGTCAGCATAAGGGTATGTTGATGGTAACCAGAAGCAAACCACATGGACTGGGATTACTACACCTACATGCTTTGGACATGGTTTAAATACCTGTTGCTGAGGGCATTAAACTTCTCAACAATCATAATTATTTTCCTCTCAAAAAATTAAAGATTTATAATAAAAAAAAAGCCCTGAAATCTATATTCCAAAAATCATCAATTCCAAAATTATTCCTCAATGCCAATATAACTTTAGGTTAGTTTGAATTTTACAATTTATTAAAAAAAAAATTTTCATCAATTGTAGGCCTATTTTTATTGTTTGCTTTGTATATGTTGATGGTAACCAGAAGCAAACCACATGGACTGGGATTACTACACCTACATGCTTTGGACATGGTTTAAATACCTGTTGCTGAGGGCATTAAACTTCTCAACAATCATAATTATTTTCCTCTCAAAAAATTAAAGATTTATAATAAAAAAAAAAGCCCTGAAATCTATATTCCAAAAATCATCAATTCCGAAATTATTCCTCAATGCCAATATAACTTTAGGTTAGTTTGAATTTTACAATTTATTAAAAAAAAAATTTTTCATCAATTGTAGGCCTATTTTTATTGTTTGCTTTGTATCTTTGCATTGCCTGAGAAAAACAAATTTCTAGTTGTTTTATTGGACAATGAAGTTCCTTATCTTAAAAAAATATTTACAAACTACAGTAGTAGTTAGGGCCTTCTTTCCTGGAACAAAAGCCTTAAAATATTTTTAAGTTGGCCCACAACAATAAGAAGAGGAATCACATTTTATCTTTTATAAAACCACACAAACTATGACTGATGTTAATGCATAAAAATATAGAGTAATCAATTCTAAATTTCCTCAGAGTATGATAATGTCTGATGTAATAGTGACTATAAAACTGTAATGACTAATGTGAATACCACGAAAATATAACCAATTTTAAATTAATGTCATGTCAGGTTTAATAGTGACCATAAAACTGTAATTGAACAAAATCATACTACAGTATGTAGAAATCTGAATTGATTCTACATTGTAATTTATGTAAGTCCTGTAAACTGCTGGGTACAATGAGAAGTCAACTTTGCCATTATTATACAGGTTTCCGGACATACACAGGTTGTTGTCTAGAAAGCTTAAAATAAATTACCAGGAATTCCTTCCTCTATTCTTTCACTATTAACCACAATTGCCTATAGTATTAGTAAAAGGATTCTGTAGAAAGAAGACCTTTGTATGTAAAGGTGTGGCCTTCATATTCAAGAAGACACTTTTATCACAAGTTCTTTCTGAAGTGTTAAAACTATTTGTTCTGCATATTGGGTGGCCTCCTCCAGACGAAATTATCGTTCTCTGAGAGAAGGATGTTTGGAAAAATGACAAGACAAAGTTAAAATTGGTACATCAAGATTTAAATTAATTCTTTTTGATTAGGCCAAGTGAAAAAAAAAATTAGTTTCACGTCCTAATATTTTGAAAAAAACAGAAATTGAGGGCATTATTGAAAAGCAAATAAAACAAGCACTTGGAATGGTTCATACCATATGTATCCCCAACAACAAACAATCGAGACAGGAATTTTACCGATGTGAGTTAGCCAGATTTTCATACATTTCGTAAAATAAAGGAAATAAAAAATAAAAAGTTTGGTGAGGCAAAAAAATGTACGCGCGAGGAGACAAGGAACTAGTAATTTTTTTTTATTTGGCCTAAATTGATTCTTTTGAATATTTTTATTCATTATCATTTTAGGTATTCTGTTACTCTGTAGTAACTAATATTAATTAATAATATATATTAATTAATATTAATTCCAAGATTAAAGATTCATTTACTGACTTGTCCATAAAAAATACAAATGTACTGTATATTAAAATGGAAAATTTAATATAAATTTGTATTCTTTTATGGAGTTAATAAATGAATCTTATTACTATAAAATTCATATGAATTACTATAAAATTCATATGAATTTTGATTAAATACTTTATTATAAAAACAAAAAAAAATCAAATAAAGAATTGAGTAAATTATTATATGTAGACTAAGATGAGAGTAAAAGCTGTATAAACATGGCTTATCTGAAAGATAATTATTTGCATATAGGAATCTATATTTAGAAATAATTAATAACTGACCAAAAGTTAAAATAAAAATTGAAAAAGCCTTAAAATATTACAAACTGAATGTGTGCATAACTTTCATTACCAACACATAATTCAAGTCCACATAAACATCTCAATAGTTATTTAATTACAAGTTATTCACTGTAATTACAATTTACAGTTTTACAAACATATACATTTTTTTTTTTATTTATTAAAATTAATAGTAGGCCTACGAATACAGTTTTACTTTTATATTTTATTTATATTGATACCATCTACATCAGCCTTTTGAAACTTAATTTGAAAATCATTATCTGTTTCAGTATACCCGTTATAAAAATAACTTTGACTGGCGACATATTAATTTCATTTGCACACAAGTACAAAGGTGAAGTGGTCTTTTAATAATCAATTTTGATGTTGTTTTGAATAAACATGATATTTTTTGTGCATATACAGGATATGTTTGGTTTTATTAGTGATTCGGTGAAAGCCTATTACACATGAGACATACCATATATGGGCACTAAAGTGATAAGCTTGACTTGTCTGGTGCTAAGGACAGTTTAGCCAAGTTGAGACATCAGCAAACAAATGTACTCTATCACATACCAAAAGAGTCATCATTTGTTTTACAGAAACAAATGCTAGAGAGGAGTTTACTGGTGTACAGGTATTACACACATAAGGTCAAATACTATACATCAAGGTATTTGTTATTCATAAAACACAACATAAGAAATCACA